AATGCTTGATCCATAATTTATGTCCCAAATAACTAGCTTTGGATGACCTGAATTAATGTATTTTCAAGATAACATTCACTGAGTGTCTATTCTAGATGCTTCTTAGATGGTACCCTGTTTAATCACCTCAACAGCTCTGGGAAGGAGGGATTACCCCACTTCACCCAGGGGGACATTAAGTACCCAGGAGGGTCAAGGACCTACCAGAGGTGCCACAGCTAGTCATTGGCAGAGCTGGGATGTGAAGCCAAGTTTGTGGGACTCCAAGTCTTGCATGCTTCTCTTTCAACTACCTCCCGACCTGCTCTCTTAGTTTTTGAAAGGACATCAGGTATCGCCTTCCCTCTAGTAGATCGCGTTGCTATGAAGTTATTTCTTTCTCCTTAAAGTTTATGAAACATGCTTTGGTGTAAATATCATGCTTTAAACATTAAATAATCAGGCCAGAACCATAAAAGTTGTTGAGATTAAAAAAAAAAGAGGGGGTGGGGGTGCTACAAAAAGGGCAAGCTGTTCTATTATGGTCCTCGTATTGCCCTTGGGCAGAACAGCCTCACACTAAGAGGCACCTGGTTCTTTGGCCCAGAAGTTCAGCCAGCTATGACAAGTGACAGGAACCTGTGATGGGGAGACAGCTGTGATTCTCTCTGGACTAAGCTGTTGTGTTCCCGTTGCCAAAAAACACTCAGAGTCACTCCAGGGGAACTGGGCTGCACGAAATAACCACACAAGAGACAGACATACCTTTCTCTTTGGGGGTCCTGTGATGGCTTCTCTGACCTTAAGGGTCCTCAGAAAGAGAGAGAGAGAGAGCACACACACACACACACACACACACACACACACACACGCTGACCCCTTTTATTGAGGAGAAGACATTCAAATGAGGCAAGGGGTCAGGTTTCAGGGGGTTGAGTCTAGCTTCCTAATGTCTGCTGTCAGCAGGTTGACTGACTTCTAGGAAGGCCACACCCAAGGGCAGAGCAAGAGAAGGGGACACACAAAGGGCGTTTCCATGGAACATTCTATCCTATCCCAAACAGGGCAGAGGGTAATATCACTAAAGAACAGGTGAGCACAGCCCCATGGGGCTGCAGGAAGGCACCCTACGCATGAAGACACATTTGTTACATTTTTACTACTCTCAAGATTGGGGCTACCCTCTACAGCCACTTGAAGGTGGCCAGATCACTGGAAGTGACTGACAGTGCCTCAAACCAATCAGGAGAGGAAAATGCTGGTCACACGACATGGCGGCCTCCCACACTAAGCCAGATCCCAGTACGTGGGTCAAGCAGAGCCAGGGACAATAGGACCTTCTTTGATCACAAAGGACAGTCAACTCTTGGGAGGTGGTGGAGAGGAGGGCAATTTCCCAGGACCACTGTGGGCTAGAAGACGTTGGTGTCACTACCTGGCATTTGTCTGAACCTGGGCAGCAGGGCTTTGCAGGTCCCCTTCTCCCTACTCACTCTGTCGCCTTAGAATGCCCAGTGCCAGTGGGACCCAATGCTGAGGGACAGCTGCGGGGAGAAGGAAAAGCATGGACCCCCGCCCAAGTGGAACAGGGCAACCACCTCCTGGTTTGATGACCTACGACCAGGAAGCTGCACTCCCAGGAGTGGCCACTAGGTGTCACCCCCTGCTTCTAGGCAAGTGCTCTGTTCTGTTCACTAATGACAAAGAATGGTGCAGAGAGAGAATTTTCTTTTTGGAGGCTCAGCATATAGCCTTCTGTGCCTCCTGTGAGCTCCTGTGAGCTCCTGGGTGCTCCCTCTCCCCTCACGCCCAGGCCTTCCTGGCTGGCCTGGATTGCCCAGTTGATCACAGTTTCTCCCCTGCTCCTCTTTCTGTCCACTCAAACTCTGCCTTCTCCAGTCAGCACCACAGTCTGGGATCAGGGAAACTCACAAGAGTGGCTCCGCTTTCCATTTCTGATCAAAAACCTAAAACAGACACACATTCGTGGTCAGCTACCTATCCAGACGTGTCCAGGGCTCACTCTCCAACTCCTTTATACAAGGACTTTGTATCCAATCCTCAGGCCTCCATGCCCCAACCTCACTTTCATTGGCTTTCATTCAAAACAGAAAAGAGAAATAGGTCCTAACTTCTTCATCTTCTCATTACCAAACCCCCAACTGACCAACGCCTGTGTCCATCTTCTTCTCTTCCACTTCTGCCCTGGGTTCCTAGTGGTCCTGGGTCCTTAAGCTCTCTCTACTTTCCTCTGGATGAGGCATCTCCCTCTATCCTGGAGAATTCCCATTAACAGACAGCTAAGCTCTCATTTTAAAAATTTCCCTTTATGCCAAGTGACTCTCTGCAGACCAGCCGGTGTCTGTTTTTTTTTTTGTTTTGTTTTGTTTTGTTTTTTCTTTTGTTTTGTTTTAATCACTGAGCCACATCCCCAGCCCTTTTTATATTTTATTTAGAGACAGAGTCTGGCTGAGTTGCTTAGGGCTTCGCTAAGTTGCTGAGCTGGCTTTGAACTCACTATCCTCCTGCCTCAGCCTCCTGAGCTGCTGGGATTGCAGGCGTGTGCCACCGTCTGTTCTCTTTCGGTACTACATTTCTCCTTTTGCTTCAATACCATCAAAACCTGTCTCCATTAAGTACCTCCTATTGTCAGATCTGGCTGATACCCACCTTGCTCCACAGGGGTGACTTCTTAAGGTCACCTTGATCTCCTTATCACCAGATGCGATGGGCATAAATATTTTAACTTTGTTCCCTTCGCCCCCCACACATGCACCATGACTGTGTGCACCAGCGTGCTTCCCTCTTGTCTTCCACAACACCCTCTTCCTGTCTTAGATTTCTCTGCCTCGGTTTCTTTTGATGGTTCCTCCATTACGTGCATCTAAGCACGAGGCCTGTGTTTTCTCTTTTCCTTGTTTCCTCATTTTCCTAGGTAATCTTACCCATGACTGCTGATCCCTCTCACCTTTTTATGCTGATGCCTCACGGATTTGTATCTTTGATCCAGTCCTATTTGACATCTCACTTGCATCTTCCATGGGTATTTCAACATGAGCATGTCCAGAATGGGGTTTTCCAATTCTCTTCTCCCCCAAACATCTGTCCTCCACTAAGCTACTCCATCTCTGTGAGGAGATTATTGTCCTCCAAGTGGCATAGGCTCCACACCTAGGGATAAGTATTTCCTTCACTTCCTCCTCCATCCCATGGCAAGTCTGATTGTCTCCATCTCCAAAACTCTTTTCAAATCTCTCACTTCTCTCCCTCCTCATTGCTATCCCACGCCTATCATCACTCTGCCAAATGGACTCAAAACATTTATAACTGATCTTCCCTTTTCCACCCTGTCTTCAATCCTGCCCCTAACCTCCTCATACTTGAGATTGAACCCAGGGACACTTAACTGCTGAACTATAGACCCAGCCTATCTATCTATCTATCTATCTATCTATCTATCTATCTATCTATTTAAAGGCAGTCTCTCTACGCTGCCAAAGCTGGCCTCCAACTTGAGATCCTTCTACCTCAGTCTCTTCAATCTGTTTTTGACACAACAGCAACAGTGGTCTTAAAACCAAAGTCCGTGATGGAAATATTCTGTATCCTAGTCTGGGTATATATATATGTTAAAAACTGGAGGTGTGTTTAAGATCTGAACACTTTCCGGTGGGTTATGCCTCAACTAAATGCAAAGCAAACCAAAATACCTAAGATGTGAGTGTCCAAGTTGAAACTCACTAGCAGCTTCTCTCTGCACTCAGAGAAAAAAACCCACTGCTGCAGAATCTGGCCCTGGCCTTTTGCTCCAATCTCATCCCCTATTGTACTTCCCTCTTGCTTGCTACAGCCCAGCTGCCCTGCCTCTCATTCAGTTTCTCCAACATGCCAACAGCTATCTTGCTGGCCCCAGGGCATTTGCTCAGGCTATTCCCTTAGCCCAGAACCCTTCTCGTTCTTAGCATCATTTCCCTCATCTTACCTAGGTAGGCTTGTCCAGACCCCCACATCTAAAGCCTTTCACCCATTTAATCTTTCTGCTCTTAACTCATGGGATTATCACACCATCATAATTGGAACTGTTTCCAATCTCAGGTTCTTGGAACCAGAGTTAAACAGACATTGGACCCAGAAAGAAATGAAGCACAGTCAAGGCTTGATGAGGGGGCTTCTGCCTGAGCCAGAAAGGAGACAATTCTTGCTGGGGGGCAGGAATCCCAGGCTAACTCCAGCAAGGGACAAATGGGTACAGCTTTTGTGGCATGTACAGGCTAGGCAGGAACATGGTCTCTGGATGTCACATGTGGAGGTTGGACTGTGTCAAGCCTCTGCTCTTCTTTATCATATCATGCTATGTGTTGCATGTCTCATGATCGTTGTGACTCTCCACCTGGGGGTGTGCTTCCACTATGCTAATAAGGTAAAGGTAGCTGTGGGTTACTTCAGTGACTACACATGCGTTTGCCCCTCATTACTTTGCCCTTATCACCTGGGAAAGTCATGGGAGTCCCTGATCAGCTCATACTTTTGACAAATACTTTGTTGCATGCATACTGTTATGGGTAAGTGCTACATAGATAGTCAATGCTATGAGTCATAAATTCAAAGAGCAAACAGATCCCATTCACTCTCCTTTTGAATTCCTACAAATCATGATAGAGATGCTTAAGAAGGTCGCCTTCCCTGTAGGAGTCTAAACAATGACTTTCTAAATATCCGAAATAGCCCAGCACAGTGGTGCACACCTGCAATCCCAGGAGCTCTGGAGGCTAAAGCAGGAGGAGCACAAGTTCAAGGCCAGCCTCAGCAACTTAGCCAGGCCCTAAGCAACTTAGAAATACCGTGTCTCTAAATAAAAACTAAAAAGGGCAGAGGATGAGGCTCAGTGGTAAAGCACCCCTGGGTTCAACCCCTGATACCAAGAAAATAAACACAAGCAATCTCTCCACACAAGGTGGAGAAAAAGAGAACACTATGGCCAAAGAAAATGCTTGAGGGGGACTGGGAGGGTACAGGGAGAAAGTCAGAGCTGACAGCAATCCTCACTATTCCACACTGCAAGCCTGGGCAATGCCACCCCCTTGCCAACTACCCCCTCCCTGATCTCACACCCCTCCAAGCTCTCCCCTCCCCGACCCCAGGGACTGCAGTTGACTCCAGCACAGCAGTCTACACCCCAGCCTGGAGTGGGAGAGACGGTGGAGACAGTGTGACCTCCAAGAAGACAATAGGTCTGCTCACAAAGGAGGACAGGCACATGTGGGAAGTTAAACAGCCACAGACCAGAGAAGCACACACACACGCACACTAAGCACAAACAAGCATGTTGTATCTTTTTCACACGGTAAGCTGGAGGCTAGCAACGCAAGCCCCAGAGGACAGGTGTGTCACGCCGAAAATCCTGATGCTGCAGGTGCTTCTCCGGCACCCAGCCCTCTAATATATCCTTTTTTTTTTTTTTTTTTTTTTTGGTGACAAGTCACTTCAACACCAAGGCCCTTCAGAGCAACTTCATTTATTCAAAAGCTCTTCTGAGCAGATCTCTGTTTGCTCCAAGGATCTATCTGCGGTTGACACCTCTTCTGTGGTTATAGAAAGGCGGTCTGAACATCTCTAGGCTAACTCATTCCGGTTGCCAATCATCCAGAGAGCCTGGGCATCCAAGACTCAGCAGCGCCCATGGAAGTCCAGGACGATCTGGGAGAGAAATGACACAGGGGTGGGAAGTGAAGAATCTCCATGGTCAACAATTCATGGTCTAACCCAGCGCCTAGCACTCATCGTCTAACCCAGCACCCAGCACTCATGGCCTAACCCAGCACCCAGCACTCACTGCTCCTATGGATGCATGCACATGTGAAACAACCCAAATGGACAACGAAGGGGATGTGACAAAGAAACAAAATACTGTTTTAGCTTAAAATGCTTTTTCACACTTTTTATTTCTCATTAGTGAGCATTTTAATTTAACGGTCCCCGATTTCCAGCTTCCCTTCCTTCCTATCGCTTCCTTCTGCCAGCTTGTTCTCCGACCCATCGGATTGCTCTTCCCTGGTGTCCCTGTTTTCCAAACTTCGTGCCACCGTTGTTGGTGCTGTTGTTTTTGCAGTGCTGGGCATTGAACACAGGGCCTTGCTCTTCCGCTGAGCTACAACTCCAGCTCCTGCCACTGTTTCTCTGTCACCTCCTGCCATGCCGGTGCCCAATTTCACCTTTTGGATCCTATCCCTCCTTTAGGGCTCCTTCTCTAGCCACCTCCCACTTATCTATAGCCCACTCATCCTTATGGAGACCCTCCTCCCACTGAGGACCTTGACACTCTGCCCTCTGGGCCTGTCTCACCACCGCCCTAGGTCACTAGTATTCTAAAGTTAGAGAGACAGCGAAAGTACCAGAGAGAACCCACTCTATCATCCACACAGCCCTCCAATCCCATCTCTGCCTGGACATGGGACATCAACAGGTGAGTCCCATGCTCACCCTGACCTCAGTCTCTCTTTGTGAGAGGAAAGATTTGAAGAGGGATTCAAAATGTGTCTCCTGGTTCTCATAATTTAGAAACCTTCCCTCAACAGTGCCTCCTGCTGCAGGGTGGTGAGCTTCCTTATGACAGAGACCTCATGGCTCTCATTGGAGTTCCTGCAGCAGACCTGGCTTGCACGTCGACACTCAATACATTTTACCCAACCAGTATCTTGATGGATCCTGGCAGGGCCCTAGGACGCTGACTCTAGGCACAGACCCAAGTCACTGGAGGTGTGAGGAAGCAGAATGGCCTTCCAGGACCACACAGTTAAAGACAGGCCAAGGAAAGGCTAGTTATTAGAAGGAAATATCTAAGAAACACCAGAGGAATGGTTAAGACAAGTTCTTCCATGGACAGATTCAGACCAATGCAAGCTCAACAGCATGTGTTGATCCTTAACCGGAGGCAACTGTGCCCCCCGAGAGACATTTAGCAATGTCTGTGGACATCTTTTCTGGGAGGGAAGATGCTATTGGCATCTACTGGGTAGAAGTCATAGATGCTGCTTAACACCCCAGGATGCACAGAACCATCTCCTACAACAAAGAGTCATCTGGCCCCCGAACGTCACCAGTGCTGTGATGGAAAGACACTCCTGTGTGTATCACACACCCTTCTCCTTCTCCCATCCTGCCTGAATCTTTCTCCCTCCTTCTCCCAGGCCAGCAACACATTCCAGATGATGCTACAGGAATATGGTACAAGGCCACACAGGAGCACCCTGCTGGGAGCCATTAGCCAAGTAGGTATGACAATTTCCTTGCCAGCGTACCCCATGTTGCTTAGTGGAAGGACATTTTGCAGTGACATTGCATGTAGGTGACCTTGCTCAAGGACCAAGGCGGATCCGGGTTTAGGGTGTTCCCGGTTTAGAATAATCTGGGTTTAGGGCGTTCCTGGTTTAGGACTATCCCGGTTTAGGGTGGTTCCAGGTTTAAGGTTACTCCTGCTGGGAATAGGGCGTATCCTGCTGCCTGAGTTCCCCTTGAGTTCTCACAGGATTCAGACAGTATTTTTTGGGAGATAGAAGCCCAGTGGGGGTGGATTTGGGCAGAGAACGTGGATTTCCCCAGAACGTGATTGTAGACGGCTGGTGTGAGTTCGGGAATAAAGAGCTGCTGTTTGAATCTACAAGCTGTGTGGTGGCTCGTGATTGTGTGCCCAGCCAGACTGTGGCAGCACCCAACACAACTTCCTTGTCTTGAAGAAGCAAAATTCAAAATCGAGCTCTAGCTCATCTTTCATAGAACTTCCTCCTTTTGTCTTTTGAATGTCTCCCTGTCATTTTTCTACAATGTGCGTGCGTGCTGTGGGGTGAGGCTGGGTGAGTGGGAAGAAAAAAAATCAGGGTGCCGAACCACCTGAGGAGCATTCGAAACACAAAACATCATGTGATGAAAACCGATTCATGCAACTGTTACGAGGCACCGAGGAGATGGTGCGTCCCCTCTCCACCAGGAAAAAGGGAGGGCCCTTCAGAATCCACTTACAGAGTTGCCTGTTGACAGATGCAAGAGAGAGGCACTAAGAGCTCGGGTGTTCAGAGCTGCTGCCAACAGAAAGAAAGCCAAGTGGGAGAAGATAGCAGCCCTTAGCAGATCCAGTTTGCAGAAGCTGTTTGCACATAACTCTTCAGGAACACAACGTGTGAAGGAGGGCTCCCCTATCAGAGTAAGTGGGAGTCAGGAACACACACAAGGCCACTAATGTGATACCTCGTTCTCTCAGCCATTCTGAGCCTTCACAGAGAGTACAATTCATGTGCTTTAGGATTGCCCCCCGCCCATGTAACTTAAATAGGAATCCTCTTGTTCCTCTTCCTGGTTTTTTTTTTTTTTCATTTTCATCTCTTCTTTTTTTTTTTTTTATTTTTTTTTTTTATTTTTTTTTTTAATTTTTTATTGTTGGCTGTTCAAAACATTACATAGTTCTTGATATATCATATTTCACAATTTGATTCAAGTGGGTTATGAGCTCCCATTTTTACCCCATATACAGATTGCAGAATCACATCAGTTACACATCCATTGATTTACATATTGCCATACTAGTGTCTGTTGTGTTCTGCTGGGGAGGGGAGGGGAGGGGGGATAGTAGAGGATAGGAAAGGCAGCAGAATACAACAGACTCTTCCTGTTTTTCTGCCACCTCTTCTTCCCAATGGCTGAGCTGACTCACCCCGTTTGAATATAAACTTCCACCTTCTCATGGAGTCTTAGGTCACTGAAGCAAATGAAGTACAAGTTGAAGGCTCAATCCTTATACCCCTAGTGCAGGGCACTGATTGGAGCCAGTGCACACTCCAGAGGGGTTTTACAGGGAAGGCTGGAAAGCACTGTTGTGAGAGCAGTCACGATTGAACTTGAAGGAGATGAAGCCTCTCAGAAGCCTAAAGCCATCGTAGGTGGGGTCTGCAGCATTCCTGAGAGAATCAGGAAGCAGGAAACTCAAAATCTTAAGTTTTCTTCTGCTCTACCCCACGTGAAAAAGAGAGAGGCCACTTGGATGCAACGGCCATCAGTTGACTAGGCAACAATTCATCTCAGAAATTGTACTATTTCTGCACCTAATCCTAGTTTTTTATTTTATTCCAGAGGTTCATAGCCACTAAGACTTCAATTTAAAAGAACTAGGAGGGAGACCTGGAAGCTGTATTTTTCTAAAGCATTTCAAAGGGATCTAATGATTGAGAAGACTGGAATTCGTTGAGCCATGAAACTTCCCTCTACAAAATATGGGATTGGGGGGAAGCTATTCCCGGAAATCATGCTTATGTTCTATGCAATTATATTTACCCTGCAGAGAAATGCACCTCCTGAGAGGCGAGCACACACCTGGTTAGGCAATAGCAATTAGGAACTCAGGTGATAGTGAATGAATGGGAAGCCAGGAAGTCAATGTACCTTCACGGCTGAACTTTGAGAAACTGTAGATAGAGCGGCCATGAACTCCCTGCAATTAGTATGTTGGCTCAGCTACAAGGAAGTGACCAGTCTGATATGAACCAACAGATAAGAGGACACCAGAGAAAGAGGGTGTCAAAAGCAGAGAGGAACCAGAATCGGAAAGGCATTCTCTCCCCTTCCACTGGTTATAAGCAGCATCAAAGCCACAGGGGAAGGGAACAGTGGACAATATTGTTATGGATATGAGGTGTCCCCCCACCACAAAGCTGCTATTAATTGCAAGAATATTCAGAGGTAAAAATATTGGATTATGGGAGCTGTGACCGAATCAGTCCATCCTCATGATTGGACTGACTCGGTGGGAGCTGTGGGTTGCTGGGGCATGGCTGGAGGAGGTGAGTCACTGGGGGGCATGTCCTGGAAGGTTGCATCTGCTCTGCAGCCCCTTTGTCCCTGCCCCTCTGCTTCTGAACCCCATCAGGAGCTGAGCAGCTTTCCTCTGCTTGGCCCTTCCCCCAAGATGTGCTCCCTCACCTCAGGCCGTGGAGTTGGTCATCTGTGGACTGAGAACTCTGAAACCATGATCCCCAAGTGAACTTCTCCTCCTCTCAGTTGTTCTTCTTGGGGGTTTTGGTCACAGCAATGAAAAAGCTGACTAAAACAGTAACAGTCCTGGGCTAACTACGTCCCAGGCTTCATGCTTCGTGCTTAACATATAATTATCAGAGCAACCCTGGGAAGTAAAATCTGAGTATTACTCTCATTCTACAGAGGAGGAAACTGAGGCTCAGGGAGCTCAAGTGACTTGCCCAGGGTCACATACAACCTATAAATGGCAGAGATGCCCCCCCCCAAAAAAAAACACTCCTTTGCTTCCAACCCCATGCTCTATTACTGCCTTCAAACTCTGAACACTGGAACCCCATGATGGTCGACTTTCCAGAACCACAGTTTCCATATACATGGATTCAATCAATCACAGATTGGAAATATGCAAAAAAAAAAAAAAAATTGGGTCTGTTCTGAAAATATAGACCTCTTTGTCATTGTTTCCTAATCAATACAGTGTAAGAACTATTTACAGCTTGTTTTTATTATACTAGGTATTATAAGTCATCTAGAGATGACTTAAAGTACACGGGAGGATTGCTAGGTTACTTGCAAGTACTGTGCCATTTTATATAAGGGGCTGGGGCATCTGTAGGTTCAGTGTCCACACCAATTGCCTCCCTCCAGATAGCAAGGGACAGCTGTAGTTACATGCATGTTCTCTGTGTGGCTGTTACCTGCACTTATTCACTGATCGAGGACTTCAAATGGAACTTATCCACAGAGCAGGTTCAACTGTCTCTTAACTCTGTGACAATGTCTTCTGAATTATTCTTTTGATACTCTTTGCCAAGTCCTGAATTAAATGAAATTTTTCAAAACTGTAGAGCACCGGAATGAACAAAACCAAAAATTCAACTGAACACTTCTGTGAAAGGGAATGTGGTTGCCTATTCCTTATGGATCATCAAAGCCACGTTCTCCCCCCGCCCCCCCACCCACCACCCCAACCCTTACTCTCAAGTCACCAGCCTTGGCTCTCATTATCTCTCCCTTCTAACATTCTATATGTGCACAATGCAAATGCTATATGATTAAGTGAATCTGAAGTTTTAATGTAAAGAAGGCATCATTGAGATCCCATGGGATGGCACTCTTCACATAAAATGGGGAACTGGGACAGGTCAGGCCAGGAAGGAACCCAACCAGGTCTATATGACAAAAGGATCCTTGGAGAACAATTGGAGAGGGAAGACGAACAGATGTGTGATATTGCAGGGAGAGTAGAGCACAGAGGGCCTGGCCAGATGGCATGTGCTCATTTAAAAATATTCAGCAAATTTTGATTCCCTACTAAATACAAGGCCCATGGCTATGCATGGAAATGGTAATCAACTACCAATAGGAATGACAAAACTCACGCAGAGGAAAATCACAGGGTGATCAGAAGAACTCACAGGCATCAATTAAAAATCTCAGCCAGCTATGAAGGACGTGTGATAAACAGTTATCTTCTAATAATTCCTATCCTAAAGATAAAGAAAGCAATTATACTAATAGCAATGCTAGCTCACATTAATGAGGGCTTACTAACCTGCCTTGAATTATATGAAGCACTTTATAGAACATCATTTTGTAGTTCTAAATCTCAGAGATGGGTTTTTATCATCGGCCTATTAAAAATGAGGAAACTGAAGCCAATACAGATCAACAATTTCCCCAAGGTTGTATGACTGGTGAGATGCAGAGACAGGACTTGAACTCCAGAGTACTCTGACACCAAAATTCCCATCAATGTTTTTCCAAGTTAGGTCTCTGATCACCTGCAGCAGAATCTCTTGTAATGCTTATTAAAGTTCAGATCCCCGAATCCCACCCGATGCCTCTGGTGTAGGGACTCAATGCTTGGGTACCAAGACCTCACCTGCCTCTTGAGGACAGGAAGGATGCTACTGTGAACTGAATCCTGTTCAGTCCAGAAGAGCTGATTAAAGGCTGAGAAAGGATGGGAGCATCAGGAAAAAGCGACACTGTTAGGAGACAAGCACAGTCAGACTGACATCAAGAAGGTGACCTAGAAAAGATCAGGGAAGACAGAGCTAGGTTTCTATGGATAAAAACTCAAAAAGGGAGGTCAACTTGAGAAAAGTAGGAGGTCTGTCCTTATCTGGCCTGGACTTTGACTCACCAACTTGATTACAGTTCACTACAACCTGCTCTTATCTGGATGGAATGTCAGACCCAAAGGACAAACCAAGCTCATAAATAGGGATCAATGAGTAACAAGACCAAAAGATGAGGCAGCTGGGAGCTGTTTGGTACAGGCAAATGGAGCAAATCTGGCCGGTGGTTCAGGACTAAGACTGCATGTGAAAGGGTAGTTTGGGGCCTGCTCTCATGTGAGGGGCTTGAGTCAAATGGCCCAGATAGGTCCACATGTGATAGTATACTGTAAGAAGGGATTCGGGCATTGAGTGGGATATTGGATTACATGACCTTTGAAGTCTCCTAGGTTTTGTTGATTCTACTTTTAAATAATTGAAACTTTCCCCTTGTATCATTTCTTTAAGGTTCAGGTTGTCAGAATCGGGACCCAAGTATGGCTCATATTATTTCTACCTATAGAAAACCTGAAGAATGAATCTTGTGGATCAGAAAAAGTCAATGGGTCACAATGTG